TACACGCTAAGTCATATATTATTTGAAATTTGATATACGATAAAAGGGATGTTGAAATACAAGAGAACTCAAGCAACATCTTAGCGATGCTTAGTACCTTTTTATGTTTAATTTTATTTACTTGTCTATATGGATGGAATGGTAAGTGCAGCGGAAGAAGTGTGTGGAACAATAAAAAGAGGCAGTAGTAAAAGAAGAGATGCATGGTGGTATGATGAAGTGAAAGAAGCTGTAAAAAAGAAGAAGAAAGCACGGTTAGACTACTTGGCCTCTAGTAATGATAAGGATATGAGAGAGAAGATGAAAGAAAGATATAGGCTGCAGAAAGTTCACACGAAAGCATTGATTGAGGAAGTGCGTGAAAGGTGTAGAATGGAAGCGGACGAAAGGTTGTCGCACAACTTTAAGGAGAACTCCAAACTCTTCTGGAAAAGGACCCGGAGTGGTGCGACGGCCTTAAGAATGAACAAAGTGATTTCGAGAACTAATGACGTCCTCTCAGAAAAATCGGACGTCAAGCAGCGATGGAGCGAATTTTATAAAAAAATGTATGCGTGTGATGATCTTAGTGAGGGATCCGGGGATGACGCCGTGACTGGTACGCCAGACCCGGACCTCGATGACACTGAGGTCATCAGTATGAAAGAGATTGAACGTGCGATTCGAAGTTTGAAATGTGGTAAGGCTGCGGGACTAGACAGAGTTACTGCTGAAATGGTCAAGTATGGTGGGCCTCGCGTCTGGGACAGCTTTCATCTGCTGTGCAATTTGTGCTGGCGGACGGGGGATGTCCCGGATGATTGGCGATCCGCAGTCATTGTGCCTTTATATAAAGGTAAAGGTTCACATTTTGACTGCGGGTGCTATCGGGCGATCAGCTTGACCAGTTTAGCAAGTAAAGTTTACTCGAAGGTTTTGACACGTAGGATGCAAGAGAAATCGGAAAGATTTCTATGGGAGGCACAATGCGGATTTAGACCTGGAAGAGGATGCACGGATCAAATGTTTTCTCTCCGCATAATCACGGAAAAGCTTCTGGCTGCTAACCAGAAGATTTTCTGTGCTTTTGTGGATCTTGAGAAAGCATTTGATAAGGTTGTAAGGAAGAAAATGTGGGAACTGTTGCCGGGGTATGGTGTGGATGGTCGATTGCTAAGGGCTGTGCAGTCTCTTTACTGTGACTGTAAAGCCTGTGTGCGGGTAGGGCATGACTTGTCACCCATGTTTAGCGTCCAAACGGGCGTAAAACAGGGTTGTGTCATGTCTTCCTGGCTGTTCATACTGTATCTCGACAGCTGTTTACAAAAGCTGAAAGATAACTGTTTGGGTGTGAAATTGGGTGACATTAAAGTAAATTGTCTGCTGTATGCTGATGATGCAGTGCTTATTGCACCATCAGAGGCAGAACTGCAGTCATTAGTCACGTGTATGAAAGAGGAATGTGAAATTAAAGGTCTCCGTTTGAACGCTAATAAAACTAAGGTTCTGGTATTTGAAAGTAACGAAGAGAGAACGAAGTGTGAAATATGGGTAAATCAGGAATGTCTAGAACAAGTAAATAAAATTGTATACTTGGGGAGTGCTTTTAGCCGGGATGGAAGATGTAATTTAGATGTGGACAGGCGTGTCGCTGCCGGGAACAAAGTCAATGGTGCCCTGACTGCGTTAGTCAAAAGGCAAGGCGTAGTGAAGAGTGCACGCCTTGCAATACATAACGCAGTGTTGGTACCGACTTTGTTATATGGCAGCGAAACCTGGGTATGCCAGAAGAAGCATAAAAGCAAGTTAAATGCAGTGGAGATGCGATCTCTTCGTAAAATGTGCGGCGTTACCATGGCCGACCGAAAGCGAAACGAAGAGATTCGCAATATGGCAGGTTTGAAAGATGACCTTATCACAAAAATTGATAAGGGCGTGCTTCGGTGGTTTGGGCACGTTGAGCGAATGAGTAAAGACCGAATGGTGAAGAAAATATATAGCGCGAAAGTTTATATTAAAAGGTGTCGAGGTAGACCGAGACTAACTTTCGAAGACCATGTGAGCAAATTGCTCGAAGAGGGTAGGGTCAAGAGTACTCGGATACCTAGACGTGCATGTATGAAGAAGATAATGAATCTGAAAGAAGCGAAAGAGGTATGTAAGGATCGTGACATTTGGCGATCTGTTCTCTCTGGCTACCCCGTCAGGGATTGTGCGTGCATTCTAACGCTTTTTAATATTTCATGTGACAGGAATAATTCATTAAAAAATAAAATTATACACTTATTATTCTTCACACAACCCTGAGTTAGAGCACTGGCGAAGCTGGTTTAAAGCAGTTTCTCTCTGTACGTGACGAGCCGCCAGTGCTCACGCACACACGCACCTCAAGTTTATAGTAGTTTACTTATCATATCGCGGTTGTATGAAGTTTTGCCTCTGTACGATATGGTTTCTTTACCCATGTGCTTATACCGTGAAACACAGTCGAAACCCATTTTTCTATATATCGCTGTCATAAATTGTTGCACCTAATGGTATTTTGAATTTCAGAGTAAATACTTTGAATACCAGTTATTGTATAGTTGCGATGTAAGAATTTCCACTACCCCATAATATACGGTGATTGCCGTAAGCGGCGACATTGGGAAACAAATTAGGAGATTGGTAGCAGCGTCTTCCTAATAACAACTAATAACAACGCGCTTGCGATGCGTGGCAACTATGGCAAATATCCCCCCTATGAGGCGTCTTTGAGGGAGGCCTACGTTTAGCAGTGAATGTAACGGTAACGGACTAATTTACTAGTTTAGCATTTATCGTGAAAATATGTGAATTAGATCGACATCAAATGAAATGTTTGATAAGAAGTATCGTATTTTGTTTTCCTAAAACAAAAGAACAAACAAATCAATACTATTTTAAGTTATTAATTGCTTTACTTGTTCTGCCGCTGCCCGTCGTCGGTATATTTTATACGTAAATCCGGAAAGTTAGCCCGCCATGTGTCGAAGGGTGCCATAAGGTTTTAAGGACTTTTCCTAACTCAACTTTTACGACAGCCGTGGAATTAAATTGAGTGCTATATTTCCCTATGTCGCCATGTAACTTATTTTTATATATCATTTGAGTGAGAATCGAGGTAACATTCAATTTAATGATAAGTGAAGACCTGCACCTGCAAATAACTTTAAACAAAAATAACTACAGATGCGTTGACCCCTGAAGACAAAGGACAACTAAGATGGAATACTGTGTTAGTGGCAGTTTAAGAGAATATATCACCCCATTTTGCCTTGTTAGTGTCGTAAGGGAGGCTATGGTAAATACCAGAAACATCTTATGGCTTCCAAATTACAATAGATGATGGCATAACCACCTTGTTTAAACTCTAAATAATACAACTGCATTCAAAATAACAAAATAATATTAAGTGTAATAATAATGACAATGATGAGGACATGTTGAACGGGCGTTCGAGTATAATTTCGTATTGCTACTATCGGCTAATATTCAATAAGTTTTCCAATAGCGTGGCGCCTAAACTCGGTTCTATAACTGTGCAAACTTTTTATGACATATCGTGTAGTAAGCCGTAGCGTACGCGTATTTTAATATTTGAAAAATATGAAGGATACTATAATCTTCTATCTACTTTACCATTTTTTGACGTAGAACAATAAACGTTTTTTTTTAGTTTAGAAATGTTGTTTTGTTGTAAAAATATTATTGTAAAATTGTTCCTTAAAATTAGTTACCAAAATTATAATACTCTAAAGTAAAACATATTTAAAAAAGTCTTATATATATATATATATATATATATATATATATATATATATATATATATATATATATATATATATATATAGAAATAATTTGCAAAGATTGAATATGGCCTATATGGAAAATCGTAGTAGTAATAATGTGATTCATCATCATCACCATCATTACAATTACACAGCTGAAAATAGGTCGTGCGACGAGCTAGCCACCCCAATCAACTTCCAGCATGTCTTGGTATCTAGTCACTTCATCTAGGGGGTGTGCATCTACACTGCACTTGCCGCCAGATCTCCTGGCAATCGACGGTCAAAGACCTAGGGGTCACCTTCGACCTTCGGTATGACCTTCGCGAATCACATATTCAATGTCCGCAACCGAGCCAAATTCGTTTCTAGTCGTCTCCACCCGCTAGTAAACAGCAAGAGCATACTGTTCCTTAGACATAAGCTCCATCACTATAAAACTTGCGTAAGACCAGTCATGTCATATGCAAGCGTTACTTTCAACCACGCTCCCAAAACTGCTGAGTCCGATGAAACTGCAAAACACAAATTTAGTTATTGACCATAGTGGTCTCTAAAGTCCTCCAGCGATTCTGCCATAATGACTATATTGTCTGCAACACATGTAACAGTATATAATATCTTTTTACTTATGTGGAGTATTGTTATGGTTTTATGCAATGTAATGAGATTGTCAAATAGTAGTTCAAAAATATTGTAATTTAGTTTAAAATATTTTTATATATGTCCTTATTATGTTCAATAAATGTAAAGGAAAAAAAAAGAAGAGAAATCACTCAGAAGGGAAATCAGTCTGTAGTTCTTTAAGAGAGCGTTGTCACCTTTCTTGAAGAACAAGACCACCTCACGTGCTCAATGCTTTACGCCTCCGGATTAGTCCCGCTATGGAGAAAGGAATTAAAGAGCTTTTGAAGGACTTCAAGTACCGGTTTTTCACCTGCTTTCAGAAGCTCCTCTGTTATTCCGTCCTCGCCTGGACCCGAGACTTGCTCTTGGATTGTTACTCACACTTAATACAAAATATGTTAAAGAATTCATTTTAAATTTAATAAGTTTTTTTGTAATTTTGTTTTAGACACGTGATGTGAGCCAGAAATGGCGGTATTGCAGATAGCCTGGCGGTCGTACAGCCGTATGAATGGTTTTCTCCTGAAGGCAGATACAAAGACTTGAAAATATTAATAATGCAACGGAAATTTCAGTTATAAGAAAATGGAGTCGAACTTCGTTTTCTCAACTTACGTAAGTCTTATTTTTGTACCCTGAATGAGAAGACACTTTAATAAAATAGTAACATTAAAGTCATACTAAAATCACTGCATATAAATTTGCCCACAATTGGCAAAAACAATTATCCGTTTTCTCTCAAAATTTACCAAATATTCAAACCTAACTTGTCTGAAAATTAGTACCCAAGCTTATAATTTATGATATTTGTCTAAGTCCTCACAACATTAGCGGATTGAGGTCGAGTGATTTCGATCTTTCCCGAGGGAATAATAGAATAATTCAAAATGTTTGTGACAGGTTGCGCTGGAACAAAACGATACGACAGTTGAATACAATAACGTGGAAGATCCAGATGCAGTAACACTACTATCTATACTTCTTGTTGGTAAGTTTTTCAGGCCTGCAAATCGAACATGTTTTTTTATATTCCAATTTTGTAAATTTAAAAACAATGCACACACGCACACGCACACACACACACACACACACCGACCCGCACAAGTTTCTCCTGGATCTATTAATATGGCGTCATTTAGATTTAAGATAATCATTAAAGGCCATTTTTATCAACTTTTCGACTTCTCAAAAAAAAGACTCCCATGTTTTTTTGGATAAAATTTAGTCTAGATCACTTTTGGCATTCCTCTATAACTGTTCGTCAAGTTTCATTATAATCGGTTTAGCTATTATAAAGATTAGCCTGGACAGACGTACATACAGACAAACATTTTAAAATGCTAATTCATTTTTTTTACTTTTTTAATAGAATAAGGGTGACAAGCAAACACAGTCCACCTGATGGTAAGTAGGTAGATACTATGCCCCATAGACATTCACATCCACTACCAAAATGCAGATTTGTTGTCACCCTTGAGGACTAAGTTGGAATGCCTCATTTCCAGTAAAAACAATCTCCGGTTCTCTTCACTCACCATATGAAACATAGCAGTATTAAGCCGGTATTTTACTCTTGTATTCTATGAGAGCGTGGTCCTACCCCGGTCGAGCCGACCCATTCGAGTTACAACCACAATATACTTAGTTGTAGCATGGCTCTACCACGCAAAATTTATTTATTCATATTATAGACAATTTAATTTACCGTAAAATGGGGTGAATAGAAATTGCGGGGTGAATAGACACAAGTTTGGTTATTTGATAAAGTTATCTTCAGCTCGAATCGAGTTTGTCTACAGCTCAGGAACATCTATTTATTACTACTGTTTATTATTAGCCAACATTTTTCCTTTATTTTGGTAACCTTTAAATTAGTGTCAATTTTGATGACAGTAAAGAAAAGGGCGGTTATGATAAAGTACAAGTGGTTATATGCTGTGTAAAACTTTTAGTTAAACTTCAAGTTCTTCAGTGTTTCCTTGTTGCAAATGTTTTTTTAGAGAGTTGAGTTGTTTCCCATCTATTATTAATACAAAGGTGAATATCAATATTCAACGATTTTATTCTTTTAAATAGTAAAATATATTATAGATACGAATGAGGGGTTATTGAAACGTAAAAGAGTTTAATACAAATATGATTTTTAAGGTTGTCAAAAACTATTTGCACCATTTACTTACTACATAAATTTATTTAAGTAGCTACTTGAAACTAAAATAGATAAAAAAAACGTTGTAATACTGTTTACGGCGCATGCGCAACTACATAGAGTAGACATACGACATAGCGCACAGTTTTTGTTAATACTGTTTACGGCGCATGCGCAACTACATACAGTAGACATACGACATAGCGCACAGTTTTTGTTTGAAATAGCTGTTCTAGTACGTAAGTACATATTTCAATGGATGTAGTTAAACATTTTTGGATATCGATTATGTAGGTAAATATTGACGACAGCTAAGGAAAGATACCTTTCGTGCCGCGCATCATTAACTACTAAGGTCGTAAAGAAGAAATTGCTCTGCTGTCATGCATTGTATGTCTAAGAACCACCAGCACATAAATTACTTTCTGTATATACTATACATTATGTTAGATAAAACTGAATAAGAGTGACGGATAATCAAAATTACTTACGCTTTTAGTGGTTGTGATTAAGGTTACGAGCATTTCACTGTCCGCGTCCGACTGTGACCACTGTTCATGCCTTATTTGCCTGATAGGCAATCAACATGTGTAGACCGAACGAAAACATATATTTAACAGAATTTGCAATTGAATTTGCACGTAGCCATAATATCAGGACCATATAAAAGGAAATGTACGTTTTTACTTTGTGACAGTTAAATATTTCAGTTTCAGTTGGGCAACCCTTAAATGTTACGGCAAGCATAAAAGTAAAATATTGCTTCGTATGTAAAATGCTCTTACATATTAAGACCTGAAATGGTATTGATATACCTTTATGAAATGTTCTTGCTTTTAGAGTTTACGTTACTGTTACAGCCTATTAAAGTCCACCGCTGATCATAAGTCTCCCCCATATATTGCCTCATAAGAGGTATAATTGCCATAGTTGCCACGCTTGGCAAGCGGGTTGGCAACCGCAGTTTTTATTTTTAGTCGTTATTTGGAAGACGCTGCTGCCCGTCTACTAATTTTTACCTATATCGCCTCCTACGACACCCACGGGATGATATATACATACAAATATGTATGTATATATCACAGTATATACATACCACGGGATGATATATACATACAAATATAATTGTAGTGACTGTCTGTAACATCAAAATAACTGCCTTTAAAGCTGAGGGGGTTATTTGCATGTCATTAAGACAATATTTTTAAAATGATGTCTAGTTTTTTTTTAAATCAATAAATTATAAAATAAAAGGTCTGATGATAACCTTAAATCTTAATACCGCGAAATTACTACATCCTACCCAGAAGTATCCGGGACGGGTCGGTAGGTAATGGAGTTTCAGGTCACTTTATCTAAAATAAACTTTGTGTCATTACTCTAATTATAACAATAATACTGACCAAGTAAACAACTGTTAATTACAATTACAGGTATATTTTTGTCGTTGTTAATATTTGTCAGCACCGCCGGAAATATACTAGTCTGTATAGCAATCTACACCGACAGAGGTCTCAGGCGCATCGGGAACTTATTCCTGGCATCTTTAGCCATCGCAGATATGTTAGTCGCTGCTGCCGTCATGACCTTTGCTGGTGTCAACGATTTATTAGGGTGAGTAAAGAATTCAATTAAATATATCTTCTTCACAATTGTCATCATTACAGCCCTTCACAAGTCCATAGTTCAACACAGGCCTCCCTCAAGGAATGCCACAAAGCAGGGTCCTGAGCCATCCACATCCATCTACTTTCTGCATGTCTTACTAGGTCGTCACTCCATCTAGTGTGATCACTATTATAGTATATTATACTATTATAGCAACTTTAGGCAGGCTGTGGTGGAGGCCTATGCTTCGCAGTGTTTTATAGGGTGTAATGGATGCATCATATATTATTTACAAATACAGGTATATTTACCCAGATTTAATCCCGGCTCACACCAGTGAAATTGTTAATTGCAATTTTACGTGCTGATTTACATAAATAGACATCGTGCGGAAACCTACAAGTTTAGAACATAATAAAAAAATATTACAAAGACATGTGAAGTTCGTCAACATGCATTGGAGCAGCGCTGCGGATATTTCCTTGTCCCTTTTGGAAATGAGAGGAGGCCTGTGCCCAACAGTGGGACGTATATAGACTGAAACTTAACTTTACAGGTCTATTATCTGCCTTGTTATCATGTTGTGTTGTCATTGAAGCCAGGATATTCATAATGTAAAAGGAACTTCGTAAATTCCCGACTGAAAATATCAGTATGGTGATAGAATCTTTGATTCCAAATAAGTGAATATTTCTACAATATATTCATATTTAGGGGCTGATGGTGATGACAAAACCTCCTAATAAAAACATGATGTTAAAATGAAACAAAAACAAAAAATTATTATATATTTAAAAAATGGATTCATCGAAAATAAATCTAATAAAATTTTATTTTTGCTATTTTGTGTTGATGTAAAATAATTTGTTTTAGGTACTGGGTTTTCGGTGAACAGTTTTGTGATACTTGGGTGGCATGTGACGTCATGTGTTCAACTGCCTCTATCTTAAATTTATGCGCCATCTCATTGGACAGATACATTCATATTAAAGATCCTCTCAGGTACTGTTATTTTTTTAATAAAACTGAAGTGACAATCGAACTCACAGTCCACCTGATAGTAAGTGGCCACTGAAGTCAATGAACACCTGTAGCCAATTCAAGCAAAGAAAGCTACAGAAGCTTTGTCTCCTAAAGATATGCAAGTACTAATATTTGGTGGCAGAAATAGCCGTTTGGCAGGTGGTACCTAACCAAACGGACTTCTAAGTATAGAAAAAGAGCCCTAACACCTAGTAGAAATGTCCAGTGATATTTAATGTTGTTTTATTTGCGTCATTTGATTACAGAATTGTTCATTACTCTGTTTTAGATATGGGCGCTGGGTTACAAGGCGTGTTGCTATTGTTACGATAGCTTTAATCTGGCTTTTAGCTGTACTTGTGAGTTTTCTGCCCATATCACTGGGACTCCACCGACCTCCAGAAGAAGCTGTAGCGACTGAGAGACCACCCCGATATCCAACTTGCGCATTAGTATTAACACCAACTTATGCCGTCGTATCAAGTTGTATATCATTTATTTTGCCGTGCATCGTTATGATAAGCATATATTGCAGGTGAGTAATTAGTTTATATCGAATTTTTTGATTTAGCTACTTAGTATTTTCTTTCGTCTTATTTTTCTTTTCATTTTTCTTATTGATCACCGTCCACTGCTCGAATACGGCCTTTGCCCATACCACTTCGTTTTGCAGGTGGATTTGCGATCTCAATACTACACGTATTGCATATGCTTGATCTCAGAATATATCTATAAAAGCAAATATAATGTCAACAAATTTAAAAAATCACATTAGTCCTGTAAAGCATTTTCAATTGTATTTAATATGTACGTTGTTTAAATTAATGAAATCATTTAAAATTTTAATACGTTGCTAAATATTACATTTTTGTAGGCTCTATTGCTACGCCCAGAAACATGTGAAGTCCATTAGAGCTGTCACCCGCACAGTTCAGCTGCCGGATAATCGGACTAAGTCAATCCGGACAAGGGTGCAAACCCATGTTCATTCATCGCCCTACCACGTGTCTGATCACAAAGCGGCCATTACCGTCGGAATCATAATGGGAGTGTTCTTATTGTGTTGGGTGCCATTTTTCTGTGTTAATATTGTGGCAGCGTTTTGTAAAACATGTATACCAGGTGAGTTGTTAATGGACTAGCTTAATTAAAATTGATGGAAGTTATTTAATGTAGAAAGTAGGTAATTTTTACGGTGTTAATTGGGAGAAACTATATGGGAAGTTGTATTAAATTATATTTAATATTGTGATAAATTGTTGTGTAGTTACAGCGTAAGAGAATACATTATTTAATATCCCATATCTTTCCGTAGGTATCGTAAGAAGCGACGGAGGGAAACTGAAACAGGTATGATATTTCCCCTGTGAGGTTAATATACGGCGGAGACCTCACTTCCACTACCATGTTTAACAGTAGACTTTGATAGGCTGTAATGATAATGATAATGTTGATGATTTTAATAGAAAATAACTTAATTTGAGGTTTTTTTGTAATTCCTATTTTATATTATAACATACTCTATGTAAGTATATATTTAAATACGAATTTGTATCTTGTTTATTATTAGCATCCATCCATCTATTACAGCTTATAAAAGTCCACTGCTGAACAAAGGCCTCTGCCATAGATTGCTTCATATGGAGGATTTAGTAATAGTTGCCATGCTTGGCAGGCGGATTAGCAACCGTATTTTTTTAATATTTGAGTTATTATCAGGAAATTGCTGCTGCCCATCTTCTGTTTCAGTTTCCCTGTATCGCCTCTTACGACACCCACGGGACAATGTGGGATAGTAGATATTCGTACACCGCCACTACACGTGATTATTAGTATAGCTTTTTATAAGCTAGAAAAATATATTTATCATTAGAAAAATACTGATTATTAATAAGTTATTTTGTTACAGATCTGGCATTCAAAATTTTAACGTGGCTAGGTTATTCAAATTCAGCGTTCAATCCGATTATTTATTCAATTTTCAATACGGAATTTCGGGAGGCGTTCAAAAAAATTCTAACTTCAAGGTATCCACTTTGCTGTGGGTACGAGACAGTGAGAGCACATACTCCAACACGTAACGACAACTTTGTTACTGATTACGGAACGAAAACACTAGTAGTGCGGAGAAGTGGGTCTTTAGGAATGTCGGCAGTAGATCCTACGCCTCGGTCATCGGCAGAATCCGTTAGACCCTTAAAAGACTATCATATTTGACAAGAAGACGGAAGTAGCAATAATGGGCTACACGAAAAAAGTGATGTGGTTTAAAAAATAATCACAGAATTCTATGACATTAATGTGCAGATATCAAGTTTTCTCTCATTATAAGACAATACTATATAAATATTAATAATTCCGTTTTAAATAATATATATATATCAATATCAGTATCTCGCTTACTTGACAATGGGTAAAATATTTTCTCTTATTCCGAATTGATAAGTATTTAATAATTTCTGTGATACTTTTGTAAATATATTTAAGGGTATTATAAAGTAATTTTAAATAACAATAACTGTACATAAGATTTTTTATTATATTTTCACGTATTGTTTTATTATTAAATTGCGATGAATGTTTTGTTACAATCATTCGTTAATGTAATATTTAATTCATTTTTATCATGTTCTGTACTGCAAACTTATCAATTTCCAAGTGTTTTTAGACATTTTTACACTATATTTTATAATGTGCACACTGAAAGTTTACTTATTTATTTAAAATACCTTTTTGATTTAAAATCATTTTGTTGTAATATTTCTTCACAAACTCAAACAAAACTGATTTACAAAACAAAACTGGATTACGAAAGCAACACTTAGATAGTTTGGAGACGTAAAAAGAATGCATGAGGAAATTGTGAAAACGCAAATTCACGGTCCAGAAGTAAGTTGCTGAGTCGGAAAGGGTCATCCTAGAGTGGAGTTTATCGACCAAATTGCCGATATATTGAAGATAGGTCAAATTAAGTGCCCTAACCGAAGAGTATGTACTATGCATAGATATATAGATGTGAAAGAAGCGAGAGAGGTGTGTCATCAGGATCGTGAAGTCCCCAGTAATCTCTGCCTAATCCGAAGTAATAAATGCCTGGGTGACAGGCGTGAGAATTTATTTAGGTATGTAATAATGTTAAGTATTACAAGATATTTAAATTATTGCTATATAGAAATGGCTTTCTAGCTTTACATTCACTTTTAAATTCAGACTTCTAAAAATGTATAATATAAATATGTTACGTTCTATAACCGAACCAACTGTAAAGTGTGGCTACACCTAGGCTCGGTTAAGGTGCAGTCGATCGCGGTTGGTTAAACCTAGGTGTATTCGATTTTTCCAAAATATATATAAATAATTAAAAATTACGGCTTTAAGCGCTGACAGCGAAGCTGCATCTTTGCCTATTATCGCTGACGTTACTTGATAGTTGCTTTCCTACTTTTGATAAAATTAATAGAAAGCATAGTAATTTCAATTATAATTCAAATTTTACTATACTTAGCTATTACATTACCCGACAGTTTCCTGCCACACCTAGTTTTAGCCATAAGTAAATCGAATACATCTAAATTTAACCAACCGCAATCGGCTGCATCTGTTTGTAGTCGGATAAACCTACCTAGGATACACCTGTAACCGTAGTTGACTTTTAGCCGTGATATATATATATATATATATATATATATGTATTTTAAAGGTATCTTTTCTCAATAACCAGTACTAATTACTAGTCAATCTTAAAAGCAAAAACAAATTGATGGTAATCCTTTTCAATTTTGACTTGTAACTTGCAAAGGGTTAAGAGAAGGGTTCCGCTGTGTAGATAATCTTTTATGCTGCAATTTAATACAATTTTAACGAAAGTATTGAGTACAAGCTATTTTCTAGATTATTTCAAATCTTTTTTATTTTGTTATTTAAGAAAAATTTAACATACATTTTTTGCTTTGATATTTAATTTAATTATAAATTGCTAAATTCACTTATAAAACATTATAATTACCATAAGAGCATAACTTATTGATTGGACATGAAAAAGAAGAAAAATTCCAAAACATGTTTTATATAGGAGACTAGCATAAATAAATACATGTATGTATGTAATATTTTGTAATTTTAAAATTTAAATCTAATTCGGTCGAAAACATCTAAATTACAAAAAGAATTATAAGGGTTTCTGTACATCAGCGGAATCCTAAACAGGTACCAAACAGTGCGTATGTGCGTAGTATATTCAAAAGATTTCTTATTTATTATGCAAAGCTTTATAAGCGAGTGATACTTGTTTATACTATGTTAGATTTCCTTCAACTGCATTTAGATGTAGAACTACGTATATTATATTACGGGGGGAAAAGCGCTAATGAACTTTATTAAAATGAATTATGTAAATTTTATAGATATAGATATACGTATATATTATCGTAGAACACATATCAACTATTCTAGTAAATAAAAAAAAATCTATCAAAGTATCTTGAGATATTCCTCATTATGTTAAAGTTGTAATTTCTATGCTTTTATTTATATTCTGGTGAGATTAAAGTATATCTAAAAATTAAAAACAAATGTTATGCGCTTACAGTGCACATTTAATTTGTATTTTAAAACCAAATCACTTCATAGCTTTTTGATTTTGCAGTATTGTTTTGTTAAATTATGCATAAGGCGGCTTCTCCTTAGTTAAATATTTCTTACGACTGAACTAGAAAAAGCAATCATTAGACCTTTATTCACTAGATGTTTAATTCTCTTTTCTTTAATAAATAAGGAGTGGTATCCTTGTATATGAGTGGTAAGAGAAGTGTAGCCTCTCCCGCTAGATGGAGTGAGAACCTGCTAAGAGATGCAGGAAATCCATTGATTTTAAATGTTAATTTAAAAATAACTTCGTTCTTTATCAGATCTTTTTCTACTTCAGTATGTATAGAAATTTATAAGCCGTGTTGATTTTAAAACCGTTTCACAATTGTTCAATTCAAATACCTATACTCGTATTGCTATTTAGAAGCCTTAAAAATAATGTATGGGTTTTTTATTTAAAAATGCATGAAATTAATTGACCTTCATTATTTCCAAATGACGTCATTAAGTGGACTGCTATGTATGTTATTACACTAAGGAGGACTGTTTGAAGTAAGGTCAATATTCAGTGATTTATATACCAATTTTTCTAAATGTAAATTGTCAAGTCACAACCTTTTTCATATTAATATCTTTACGTGATCTATTATTTATTTGATTCACAATTACCCCTGCGTTAACCATTGCTTCGCTACGAGGGACTTTATTCCTAAAGTTTGAACTTATTTAATTATCAACCGGTTTGTGCCAGTATTTGGTGCCAAGTAACTCCGTCAATTTATACAAAGCAAAGATAGTTAAGCTACGGTACACTGATTTTAGTAATTGGTTTGAACCATTTGTTTTTCTCTTATTCATTGGCTTATTTAATTGTATTCATTACCAAGTCATAAAAAATACGCAAATAACAATATTCGTACCTACTTGGTTAATGTAAACAATAAACTTGTTATTTAAGTCAAATGTCAATTTATGAGGTAAAAAGTTATACTTTTTCTATGCTTGACAATGGATGCGAACACTTCAGTCTACTCTATAACGTCATTATCAGTTAAAGTTTTAAAAGCTATTTAAAATTAACTAGGTAATGCTTAGTAAACAAAATTATTTAAAATTAGTGTTTATATCTTAAATAAATTAAAATATAAAAATTATGGCTTATAAAAGGTTACATTCCAAATTCGTGCAAGTGCGTGTGTGTGTTCAGTGTAGTTTTTTATTTATAAAATAAGAAATTAGTGTAAAAAGTAGCTACAGGTTATTTTTCTTTGACATAAGATAACGAAATAGCCTAGAAAGCAATTATATGTACATTTGTTTATATAACAAAGCAGTTTTAAGTCTATATCACTAATAATAAGAGATATAAGATAACAATAGGTAAAAATATCTTACATAAAATGTTTATGAAAATACATAACATTTATATTATTTTCACAGGGTTGTAAGAAATAATAAATTATCAACATTGAGTAATAAATAGAAAAGATTATGTAAATAAAAAGATAATTTTAAACTATTCTTCTAATAAATGAAAGGGTATACACAAGAATGTATCAAAATGTCTATTTAACGTTAACAAAAGATAGAGACATGAGAAAATTTATTGGTTATCAGAGCCGGATTAATCGAAAGGCAACGTATCTTACTTCACTTGGCTTAGTACGGCTCTGTTAGTGTTATTATATAGCTATTAAAATTAAATAACATTTATTTATTTCTTTGTAAATATTAATACTTTAAAGGCTGAGTAAATTATATTGCTTTACGTGACTCTAATTATATTTCTATTAAATTTTAAGTCTCTTTGCAAGTAATTAAATCACGGTAAGTATAAAAAATGATCATGACGACATTTGTACATTAGACATTTACAGGTAATTTTACATTTTCACTTTGTAAATAACTTATTATGTATTTTCTAAATAGCTTTGTCATAGTGCGCCTACAAGGGTTAATAAAGTCAAAGTTGTAATTTCATGTATCAAATGTTTCTAGTCAGAATAAAGCCAAAAACAACATTATATTCTTTTTAATTCTTTTCTAATTCATTTTTTAAACTAACTTGTCTGACTTTTGATAGTATAACAAATGAATGTCGTATACAAGTTATATAAAAACGAAGTTGGAGAAAACTTGTTTATATTTTATATTATATTATATATTATATTCAGTTCAAGGGTTCTAAAAATATAAAAGGCATATCAATAGTATTATGCGAAAAGTTAAAGCTGTTATTTGGTAAAAGAGAGCTATAGTTATAAACTTTGTTATAGCTATAGAATGAATGGGTCGAATTGAACGGGGAAGGATTCCGCTTGCACATAACACCAGCATAAAATAGCAGCATTATGCTGCCGTATTCCGTATGGTTAGTGGCAAAGATTCCATCTCAGTCCTCAGGGTTGACCACGCATCTGCATTTTGATTCTTAAAACGTTCAGTGCGTAAACAGGGCCTAAAACACCTTGTACATGTCTCGCCTGTGGTGTAGCAACAAAAAACATAAACATCTATGTCGTGCGGAAGGCGTAACTTCTACTTGGATCAGTGTAGGAAAAAGATAAATATATATCTGAGATGTGCTATTGATCCCGAGTTCTGTGGTATACTTACTTTAATACCAGGTT